TACTACCTACCTTATTTGGCGGAATAGATGACATTATATGTTATTTATTGTACGATCGCACAATTTATCAGAGTTTTTGATACAATGCGATTACGAAACGATTACAGCTATTTAATATAATTATATTTGTAATTATAACTTTATATATATATATGTTTTCTTGATACTGTCTTTATAATACATTTAACATTTTTCGAATAATATTTTATTTTCTTTTTTTTTGCTCTCTCTATTAGTTCATGTAATATATTATGCATATAGCATAATTATTTATGTAATATATTGTATATTAACATAATTATATTTATTTTTTCATTATTTTATTTTTTTCCTTTTTCAAATATATTATTAACAATTTATCTGTATATATTTTTTATTAAAATACATTATTTTGGATTATTATTTATTGCTACATATGTATCAATGAGTTAGAGAGAGAACGAAAAACGAGAGTAAGCGAGAGAGAAGTTCAGATGGCGCTACCGACCAACTTACTTATTTCGCGCATGCGCACTCCGTTTTGGCCAACACTAACATCAAAGGTGCCGACAGGGAGTTGCGCTACTGTATATACTGTGGTAGAGGCGTGGCTAGCCATTTGGTATCTACCTGGTTGATACCACGCTATACCGAGCAGTGAAGTAGGGTATGTGTTGTTAGTTACTGGTAAAGCCTGCGGCACATGGTACGATTTTTCGTACTGATTTTGTTAATTGATTCGTTGCGTGCTGTTTAGCGAAGTATTCTACGTGTTCCAATCAAAAGAGTGTTACTAGTTTTGGTTTCACACGTGCAGATTATCTTACGTGTTGGGTTAATATTTTAGTTATAAGATATCTAGAGATTTCAACAAAATTCTTCAAGACTCTAAAAATCCTTTAGATAATAGCCAATGATTGCTTATCTAGTCAAGATACGATTCAAGATATTTATTATGGAAAAATTAATTAAATTTTTTAAATTTTATTTGGTTAGGAAATCTGTCACTTTTAATTAATTATATACATATTCAATTAATATCACCATTCGACCGTGATTGGTCAATTCGCTTACGTCTTAAGGGCCGTGGCACATGAAAAACTTAAGCAGTAAGACTTAAGACGTAAGCGAATTGACCAATCACGGTCGAACAGTAAGGCAGCCATATTGAAACGTAAGCTACGCTGAAAATTCCGTATGGTTGAAATTCTTAAGTCTTAAGTCTTACTGCTTAAGTTTTTCTATGTGCCACGGCCCTAAGACCGTCTGGACCAATGAGCATGCTATGTAAATTATTTTAGTGAAATAGTTGCTGGTACATGTATCAAAATAATCTCCACCCCTACCAATGAGAGCGCGTCGCTCTCTGTGGCAGGAGCCCTGAGTATACTTTGCGCATGCGCACTACAATTATAAAAAAAAACTTATTCCGCATGTAATTAAAAAATTTATCGCTTAAAAGTTTGGGCCCGGGCACATAAAAAAACTTAAGCAGTAAGACTTAAGACTTACGAATTTCAACCATACGAAATTTTCAACGTAGCTTACGTTTCAATATGGCTGCCTTACTGTTCGACCGTGATTGGTCAATTTGCTTACGTCTTAAGTCTTACTGCTTAAGTTTTTTTATGTGCCACGGCCCATAGATTTTTAGAAATAGACTGCGCGCTCTTACGGTTTGGTGATCTTAACATTGAAGGACAGAGATATACTGGTTGGATCTGTTTCTCTCTCGCACAGTTGAAGAAATACATTCAGAAAAATTAAAAATAATCATATTTAATAATTTCTTCCGGCTAGCTTCATGTAGGTCAGTTCGTTCGTGTTAATTATCAAAATGGAAAATAAACGAGAAATTTGTCAAGAATTATGTTTATTTACATTTACAAGCAAAAGTTGGTTGGCTCTACTGAAATATCAATCTTCCTCGCTTCTATTCTACTTCCAGTGGAAACAGTGCGTTAAATTCGATGCGCACCAAAACAGAGGACACGTTCCACTTCACGACCGCAACGCTCACGGTATCATTTCATCTTTGTTGTTCACCGAAAATTAAACAAAGATGATGCTCGCGAGCGTTGCGGTCGTTGCTTGCTTGCTTGGGTTTTGGGATTGGCTCCAGCGAATACTCGCTATACAGCCATAAACTGGTTTAAAGATAGAATAATGTCGTATATATGTAGGTTCCTCTTGAGGGAAGGAAGGAATTTGTGTTAGGGAGGTGGTAGGAAAGGGCAAATAGGAAAGCGCAGGCCAAGGTCGGAGTCGGGAATCGAACCCGAGTTCTCTGGGATGTGAGTCAGGCGCGCTACTCCTTGAGCCACCAGAGGCCCTCATGTTGCGGTCGTTAAGTGGAACGCGCCCAGAATCGGATTGACGACTTTGGTGGAAACTAGACCAATGTAAAGGGGGGAGCACACACTTTTGCATAAGCGCATAATCATAAGCATAAGGAAATTGATTGGTCCATTTCTTTACGCATAAGGAAATTGACCAATCAATTTTTTTATGCTTATGATTATGTGCTTATGCAAAAGTGTGTGCTCCCGGCTTTAAGACCCTCACACACAAATTGGCATAGCTGCATATGCATAGCATAAGGACCGTGGCACATAAAAAAACTTAAGCAGTAAGACTTAAGACTTAAGAATTTCAACCATACGGAATTTTCAGCGTAGCTTACGTTTCAATATGGCTGCCTTACTGTTCGACCGTGATTGGTCAATTCGCTTACGTCTTAAGTCTTACTGCTTAAGTTTTTCTACGTGCCACGGCCCTAAGACTTAAGACGTAAGCGAATTGACCAATCACGGTCGAACAGTAAGGCAGCCATATTGAAACGTAAGCTACGCTGAAAATTCCGTATGGTTGAAATTCTTAAGTCTTAAATCTTACTGCTTAAGTTTTTCTATGTGCCACGGCCCTAACACGTTACGTTACGTTAAGTACTGACTACACATAAATTCATACGTAATCTTAAACTTCAGTCAACGCACAAACAAAATCGTAACGTAGTATGCTTTTGTTACGTTACGATTTTCTCTGTGCGTTGACTGAAGTTTAAGATTACGTATGAATTTAGGTGTAGTCAGTACTTAACGTAACGTAACGTGTTAGGGCCGTGGCACATAGAAAAACTTAAGCAGTAAGGGCCGTGGCATACAAAAAAACTTAAGCAGTAAGACTTAAGACTTAAGAATTTCATCCATACGGAATTTTCAGCTCACGTTTCAATATGGCTGCCTTACTGTTCGATCGTGATTGGTCAATTCGCTTACGTCTTAAGTCTTAGGGCCACCGCACAAGCTTTTCCGTAATGCATTACGTTACGTTAAGTACTGATTCTAAACCTAAACTCGTACGTAATCTTAAACTTCAGTCAACGCACAAACAAAATCGTAACGTAGTATGCTTTTGTTACGTTACG